GGTTTTCAGGTCAAAAGCAAACCGCATTATGAAAACAAACACTGAAGTTTGCTTGTAAACAGGATTAGACTTTCTGTACTTAGGGGAAGCTCAGTAATTTCTTAAGGGATTTAMCACACAGTTATCAACAAATAACGTATTACATTTTATTCTTCCCCGACTTGCACCGATTATTTATTGAACAGCTTGTCCTGCACTGGGATTCCAGGCACATTTTACTCTTTTCTCTCTCAAAACACACACAACGTTCAAACTTGAGGTGGTTTCGCAAACACACTTTGAGGCGCTCAACATCCAGAATTAAAGAGGGAACTCCGAAGAAAACTTTTAAAAGCGACTTACAAAGCAGAGGTGGTTAATTAAATAGGGTGAGGCGCGCACAGGACGCGCACATAGGGACGACCATAAAGGCGGCGCTGCCGGGCGGCCCCCCGCGCCTCACGAAGAGCAGCCCCCAAAATGGCGGCGCGGGCACGAGGGGGCGCTGCGCGCGCGCGGCTGCGCCCGCCCCGCTCCGCTCTCCTCACAAGGCCGCGCACGGAGCGAGCCCTACCTGCAAATCCACTGAACGGGTTTATTGCACATTATGAAACACGCAGAGGGTTAAAAAGTGCTCAGGGGACGCTGATGAACCMCTGCCTCACTTGTGATTGTGAAGCAGGAAGTGTTGTGCCCTTCTGAGCGCACGCGAGATGTAGAAAATTGAAACAAAATCTGAGTTACAGAAACACGTTAACGTATAAAATCATGGGTAATTAAACTGTACTTGCATTAGCAAGTTTACAATTCTTTGTAAAGCAAAGATATGAGTTCAACAGCTAACTAGGAAGCTTAACGAAGCTGCTGAGAGGCTGCACAGGTCATCTGGGTACCAGCCAAAACTGGCAAGTTGCTCACCGGGATCTGGGACATGGGGATTCCTGCATCTCAGCCTATTTGGAAAGAAAAAAACAAACACCACTGCAAAAGATAAAGGCTATTGCAAGAACTCCTTGTAGAGACCACCTATGTAATACAGCTGTACTGCATGTTCTACCTTTGCGCTTAATCCCACTGCTAATAAATTTTAAATAATTAAACTCGCGTTCTCAGCAGTTTCAATCTGTATTTCTGTGCATCAGAACCACCAGGCCGCCGGCGGCCGCTCGTGTCTCCCCRCGGCAGGGACCTACAGCTCCTGCYAGGCTGCAGCCCTGTGCCGTAAAAYGGCCCGCACGCTTCCTGCTAGACCTCAAAGCCGGGATTTGTTAGTGTTGGCACTGGCCTGCGAGCTGTGCTTGTGCAGCACCTCACTGTGCTTGTCTCCATTTTCCACAAGCCTTGCTGAAATGATTCTCTCCCAACTTCAGTGCATGTCTTGTGATTCCTGCTGCCTCTCTCGGATACACGGGTGCCGAGAGTCCTCACGTGCAGTCAGATGAGCAGCGAGGACCGTCCTGGGAGGAGAAACTCTGGGCTTCTCGCCCCTCCTTTGGGAAGCTGCCGCAGGCTGTGGGAGCYGCCCCGGTCGCGGCAGGGAAGGGCTCTGGGCCGCGGAGCCGGCTTGGCCCGCGCTGCCTCATCCAGTGCTTCCTAGAAGCACAGCGCCAGGAAAACAATAGCAGGGCTGCGCGCCAGCTCCGGCTGCTCCCGGGAATGATTGCACAAAAGCGGAGGAGAGCCACGGAACTCCGTTTTCCACTGCGGCCTCCCTCGCTCCTTCCCCAGCTTCACCAAAGGCCCTCTCTGGTTGTAGGAGGCACGTGAAAAAAGGCAGAAATCCCTCAAAATCATCTTCTGCGTAGGATACCTGCAAGGTTATCCCGCCTATAGACCTGGGGTGAAAGGAAAGGGCTGGCAGGAGAAGATGGACAAAACTGATCTGCTCCTGTCCAACTGGGAAGTTTCCCTTTTAGGGTCCATTTTGCAACGCCACGGCCACAGTAAACCCATTCTTGCAAGAATTCACACAAACTCCTAGTTTACAGCCTTTTAAAATCATAGTATTTTTAGGTGAGCTCAATTTGCATTTTTTACCAATATCCAACATATAATCTCAAGGTAAATTCAGTCAACCCATGGTATTTAAATAGGGTCTGTACTTGATTTGGTTTAATATAATACAGTCTTTCAACAGAATATTAAAAATCTGCATGAAATTTGAGCAATCATATTAGAGATGCAGATTAAAATTCCAAGCAACATATGCAGAATTTGATTTTCTGAAAAACAAAACAAACAAAAAACCTCTCTTAAGCTTCCATTATAAAAAAAGAGATATTTTCAGATTCACTCCAAATTTCAGTAAATAGCCTCTAACTGAACAGAAATCAACTTATTTTTTTCTTTGGGCATCCTTCTCTTCGCAAAATCAACACTCTAATCTACACACATCAGTCAGTGCAGTTAATCAGGATCTCACACTCAAATTTGCACTTCAATTTTTTTTCTTTTGAAAAAAAAGATGACAAATTATGATAGAAAAGAAAGTGTAACTATATTTAAAAAGCTCTCTCCACCACAAGTGAATGTAAATCACTTCCGTGCTTTCGTTATTTTTAGAAATGATTCAAACTCGACTTTAAAAAAGCCTTGACTAGATGCAAATAGTGACAACAACTCTAGTAAAGTTGCTTATTTTAATCGCAAACCATCATTCATTATCCCATACTCCCCAATCACTTTTGAAATAAGACACCATATGATGCAATGTACCCAGGTCTGATGGAGGAGGTAACAGAAAACAATTTTATTTTTAGCTTTACTCTGAAATTAAAGATGTTGACAAGGTCTGGAAGTCTGCCCAGCAGGCACAGCATTGCCGGTTCTTTCAGATGGGCGTAAAAACAGAAAGAGAGGAACATCTAAGTGCACTAAGGAGAAAGGGCAGAACCAGTTTTACACTTCACTTCGGCGTGGTGCCCATTGAGGACGGACTTTCACCTCTTCCATGTAAAAATCTGTAAGAAGAGCCAGCAAGACAGGAAAATTTCCTTTGCTCTATACATTTCTTCCAGAGCCAAGGTTGGAATAGAGATCAAGACTCTTGATCCCCCCACTATTTTAAGGGTCTGTGAGGCTGCAGCAAAGCCATCTACACAGATGACTCCCAACACAAGGCTGCTCTGCTCCCTTGGACTGCAGCATCACAGGGCTCTGCCAAAGCGCAAAAGGCAGTTGTTAAGGAGAGAAATAACACAGCTGGGAGCTCTGCTGAGCTCCCAAATCCAAATACTGAACAGAAGCTGCGACAGTTCCTTGCAAAGATAGCACAATACATCTTCTGTATGGAGGATGGTGCCAAGAAGGCTGCACTTGCAGCCCATGTTTTCACACATTACCTCTCTTGACAGAGCAGAGCTTGTTTTGGTTTAGCAGCACCAACTGGTTCAGAGGAAAAAAAAAAAAAAAGAAAGAAAAAAAGGTCTTATTTCTCTTTTCAGTGTGTTTGAAACCGAGTGATCTTTGTAAACAAAACGAGGGAACCTACAAATATCTGAAAAAAAAAATTTAAGTTGCAAAAGTTATTTCTTGCATTAGCTACATAAATGTAAAACCAATAGTTGGCAAATTAGGCCCAGGTTGCTGGCAGAGAAGTCCACTGCATAAGATGGAATAAGCAGTTTGATAATATCCACCAAGCAATAGTCTGAGCCTCTAGAATTACCGAGATGAATTTTATTCAGAACGACATATAGGCAGGCAAGGTTATGAACTGCTATGATGAAGAAATGAGAGTCTTATTTCCTCTGACCACAGAATGGTAGAGGATGCCAGAGCCTCCAGAGCCTGTGTATCCCTTCCTTGTCTAATACTGTTTACTTAGAGGTCCACTCAAACGGGAAAGGAAATTAAAAAAATTGTTCGTTGCTACATAATATCCTCTAAAACCTGTACGAATAAATAATCCTTAACCTTGGTATTAATATGCTTGCTCCTGCCTGAAATTAATACTCAGGCTTTTATAGTTGTTTAAATTAAGCAGTCTTTATAACTGGAGCTAGCTTTATCAGAAAAACACTCACTTCAGCTAGTAAAAGGCCTATATGTTATGACAAACAATAAGAATCACTGAATTGCTCGGACTTTATAGTCTAAACTCTAAAATAGAGAGCAGTAGAACTAGAACGCTGCTCACTGTCATTGTCAATGAACATCCGTATCTTTCCTTTTTCTTTTCCTCTCCACATAATTCCCTCATGTAAAAGAAAGAATCCAAAACATTTAAAAGGAAGCAGACAAAGAAACTAAAAACTTTTCTGTTAAATGCTGTCTTTTGGACACTCCTCTACTTCTAAGGGCACTGTTACTCAGTACATGTTAAGTATGGGAACATAACTGAATAGGAATTTAAATATTTAGGTGATTATCTGAATGCAAAGGCAGCTAATATTGTTTTACCGTATTGTGCACCAAATAAAGCAAAATAAGAATATAACTGGACAGCCCAACATAGGACAACATCAATCATCGGTCTGCAGGATAAAAGTGAACAAAYGAAACAAACTCCCCAAAAACAGTAAGGTATGTAATTATAAAAAAAAGGGCAAGGTACCRTTTATAGAGCACATTCAAAATTTTATGACTAAGGAAATATTCAATTGTTACACATCATTAAAATGCACATGCAAGTTTCTAAGAGGGGGGAAAAAAAACACCACAGAGTATGATAAAAGGTATCTGGTAGATGTATACATATGAAAAAGCACGAAGGAAAGAGAGCAATGGAGATGATGCTTCCTCAGCCCCTTCCAATTAACAATGCCAATTAAAATATATGGATGTGCTCCGTGTCACCTGATGCAGCCCTGGGCAGACAACCCACCCTTTCACAGGTCCCCCATCTACCTCATGGCCGTAGTACTAGAGCTGAGCACTGTCATTTAAGTCTCYTCTTTAAGTCCCCTATCTTCTTCATCAAGTTACTGTCATTTAGCGATTGCCTTCGGTGTTACGAGTTTTACAGACTGCAGAGATTTTATTCTGCTCAGCGTTAAAATCGAGTTAATGAAATTTCTTACCTCCAATATTCTGGATAATTATTGTAGTTGCAACAAGAACCTATAAAAGAATTAATATCTTTAGTAAAGGTAAGGATAACTAAAATCGTATGTCTATAGCAGTCATAAAACACATATGTATCTTCTTAAACAGACCAGATGTAGAAGCGATAAGTGGTACTGAAAGGAAGGGCATCATCTGTTTAAAGAACAAATGGAAACTAATGCAATGCAATCTAAAATTAATATAGAAACATGAAGTCTTCCTCAAAATACTGCCTTTTCAGTCCGAGATAACAGACAAGAGAAGCTACACGGTGAAGGCAGCTACGCAAAAGACTAGGTTTTAAATCACTGAAAACACTTAAATGCATTTGAATCAGGCAAATACAGAGGAAGACAATCATTCGCTTTGGAAGAGGCAATCAGACAACAGAGATTTGTGCACAGTATTTCCTCACTCAAAAAAAAAAAAAAAAAGGTATTTTTTAACTATCATGAATGCCACTGCTCTTCTAAATGCATACACTAGATAGATGGGCTTTATTTGGTTAGTATTTGTGATTGTTCAAAGTAGACTAACAGTGAAATAGAAATGATCACACACCACTGAACTTTTGATAGACTCCAAGCAATTGCTGACTTTCAACTGAAAAAATTCTTAAGTTTTCTCTCCGTTTTATTTTCCATTCAGTGTCACCTAGAAGAGCACAGATTCTTTTTACTCTGCCCTCCTTTCTGTAGCAGGACTCTGCTAGGTGCTACCTTGGTAAAAAATAAAGCTGTGGATAGGAGCAGAAAAATAAACATACGCTTTCAAATAAAAACAGATGGATGAGTTGCCCATTTTTCAACTGGTTAACTAGAAAATAAATTTTAATGCTTTTATGCAATATCAGATTGAAATGAATTAAAATCAGCTCGAAGTCGCAAGTTCTTTTTCCCCCCCTCTCTAAAAAGGAAAAAAAAAACCCTATCTTGTCATTTGTCATGCATGGAAACAATTGCTTCTTGCCTTAGGAAAGGGAGACTCAGGAGTTTTCTAACAGCAAAAAAGATCCATTTTCATAAATTACAGAAATATTTATAACATGAAATCAGCGTAAGAYTGAAAAACTATAAAAATGAATTGCACAAAAGAAGAGTATTACTTAAACAAAAAAAATAGTAATAATAATCTGTGGCTGCCCAAGCTGAAGAGGGTTCAAGGACAAGATTAGAACTGTGAATGACTTGCAATAAACTAGGGAGATGTCTAAAAATCAAAAGATGTGCAGTTAAAAGCAACGCATTCCAGAAGTAGAAAACAAATGTATGACTAGTTACTAGATTACAAATAAAGAAAATCATCTATGATAACAATCAAACATGAATTAACCACAGAAATGACAAATCTTGTTTTGGGGTGTAGCAACAGGCATGTTGCATTTAAAATATGGGTAGAAACTCTTATTTGTTGGCACTTGCAAGTCCTCAGGCAGTATCCTACTGTATTCAGTTTTGCAGGCAAGTTTTAAGAAAGTTTATAAACATCAAGTTTATAAGGATGCTTCAAAAGACAGAGATAAGTGAACGAAAAAACATGCCTTCATCCAGAAAGCTTGGTGAAATTGGTTCACTAATTAATCAAAATAACAGATTCCCAACCATACATATATTCCAGTGACTGCTGCCCTCCATATACACTAAAAAACATAAGACCAGATGATCTAAATTAAATATTACAAAAATGTATACAAGGAAGAATAAATAATGACCGATGTTGGCTACATAGTGAAATTGTGAAATCTCCTTCAATGAAGCTTTTAAACGGAAGATTAGGCAAACATCTGCCAAGAAAAGTTTATGTGCGTTTACTCCTGCTTCAGAGCAGAGGCAGTCTAGGTCACTTTGTAATACCTCTTTAAGCTCTATATTTCTATTATTTCTGTATCTAATGGCTTGTGGTTAATGTGCACAGAAGGCTCTAAAAATAATTTTATTTCATACTTTGCTAATATCAAGATTTATTAACTCTTAAGGTTGATCACATTTTAACTGTGATCAATAAATATTCAACTTCACACGCTACACSTATTATCTGCTTATTAATGCTAATGGAAGTCTTATATACACCTAATGGCTCAGATTTAATTTTCAGTGAAAGGATCGGATTCTAGTCCTCAAGTAGAAGGCAAGAAAAAAGATTAACAGTAAGCCATTAAAACTGCACATTTACAGGATAAAAGCCACTTTTAAACTCATTTAACTGAAACACAGAGCGCATTCGCTGTAATATTAAATGTGTAGCATTCTCTGTCCCTATTAGTTGCCTCTACACACCTTGTGTTACAGTATCAGGAAACACAGATACAGTGCACCACTCTAAAAAGCTTGCCTTGTATGCTGGTTGATATTATACCAAAAAAGTTCTTCTCTGTGAAATGTTTACCTAATTTTTTTTTTATTACATCAACATGCGCTAAATGTCATCTTATTTACTGATGAAGTAGAAACTAGATTAAAGGCAAACCCTTATCCTAAATTTCTAGTAAGGGCTGAAACACCAACAGTGAGTCATTTGCAAGGATCTCTTAGCAGTTTACACAAGTGATACCAAGGGACTGTAACAAATCTGAATTCGGAGCTCACTCGATAGCAGTGCCAACCAGCACACAGCTCTGAACACAGTTACAGGGGTGACTGCAGCGACAGTGAAGCAGTCGTTGCACTTAAAGTTTATTTTATGGTTACCTAAAGTTTCGGTTTCTTTCAGTTGGGTTTTTATTCGAGCTTTTTAATTACTCAGAGTATTTTGTTTGTATAACTTTAGTAGGCAAGAAATATAGTCCTCCTGCTGAGCGGCTAAGACTAAGAAGAAAAATAAAGTTAAAGAGATTGCTTACCTTCCCAGGTGAACCAAATGCAAAGAGGCCAATATCTTCATAAGAAGTAACAGCTATTAATAAGGAAGAAAAAAATAAATAAAAAAAAGCTCAAATATTTGAAGCTTCACATCCCCTTAAGATCTTAGCTTTGCTTTTTAAAAAAAAAATGCAAATAATTCTGGATAGAATTAAAACAGTATTTTATAATATTTTCCATTCATGAGATAGCTTTTAAACACCCTTGTACTCCTGTTGCAAATACAGCTACAAATGCTCAATTATCCACAGATTCTCCAGAAGTTCAAATTACTATAATATTAAAAGTGGATAAAAAAAAATTGATTGAAAATTGCCTTCTTCCAGAGATTTATTTTTCAAATAATACTATAGATGAATGTTCCCAAAGTTAGCCTCACCAATGAAGTATAAACTATTTCCATATTTTATTCGATAAAAACTGTACACTCTTTTAAAAAATGAAGAAAACAATGTAGAACCCGTCTTCATTTTTCTATTAATATAAACTGAAATCACAACCTTGCTAGCTCTTAAGAAAAAAACCAACCACAGCACTGCTCATTTCCAGGAGAAATGGACGCACCTTCCTTAGTGGAGATCTCCTTATATATACACATATTAAAAAAACAAAAAAAAAAAGAGAAAAAGACAGACACCTCAAAACAAAAGCTGCACCTGACTCATATAATCACATTAAAATGGTCTGTGGTTTCCCTTCTAATATTGCTCCCTTCTAATATTGCTGGTAACTCAAAACAATCCCTTCTTGCAGCAGCGGAAATCACATTAAGTCTCACATTGGGGCTCTGTACTTTGTTATTAGGAGCTCAAGGGATATCAAAAAGATGAAAGTTTGCTGAGAAATATCCCTCCTTTTCTCAGCCTATATTAAAACGGTCCACAGTTGTAAATACCTCGGAGGGTAAAACCAATCCCAAAAAATACATTTTATTGCCGCGACACTGTCACTGTGCCTACGTCGTTTATAGTGTTTCCACTGCTGCCACATCTTTATTTAGCGCCCAGCCCTGCAACTTGAGCTGTGCAGGACAAACCTTTACACCCGAGGGAAGCCCCAACTGAAGCAAATGACACAGGACAAGGGAGACACTCGCCCAGAGCGGGGCACAGGACATGGCCGCGGACCATTTTATTCCGCTCAGGTTCTGCACACAATCAAATCGACCACAGAAATAAAAACAAAACTTCATTCACTGCCTCATACGATTTCATCAGGGGCAGCATTTCACATTCCCCTCTACTGCTGACACCAATAGGCCATGACAAAATAAATGAAATGACAAAACTCAAGGCCAGGGTCAGCGCTCAGTATAAACGCAGGATAATCTTACATTTGCTGTTGCACTAAGTTGTATGCAGATATAACCAAATAAGCAATATTTCTTACAGTATTTTACCATGTATTTTTCTTAGAATTATGTTTATAATGCAATTAACTACAAGAAAGAATGAYTATTTTGGAAGGCCATCCTCAACAACATTAAAGACTGCAAAATTTTCAATGCATTTAAGGGCCTATTGCTTTTAGCGCATGGAAACGAATACACAACAAAGGCACACCAGAAGCTATCACTAAAAAACAACAAAATTTATACAAAATCCCAAAACAAAACCTTAGGAGCATATACTCTGTGCCAATGCTCCTTTTGTAATCAGCTGGGTTTGTGAACAGCATTAAGGCTACAGAAGCCTTAACCACGTCTATTTTCCAAGAATACATGGTGCAAAATCTTACACACGGGTGCTACAGGGATAAATGTGCTCTGCCAGATTAGCTCGATTTCTCCTGCATTCTTACTGCTGAATGGAAGTGACCTACATGCATCCAAACTGACACAGGCAATATTCGTGACTAACTCACACAGTAGAAATAAAATAAATAAATAAATCTGCATAATTTGGAATTACTCCCCACTTTAAAAACTCAGTTTTTGCACGCTATGGAATGAACTTGGCTTTTGTCAGTCTGCACCCACAAGCAAGGCACGTAGGATGGAATTAACACAGGGAAAGAACACTGAATGAGCTAATTCAAATACAGCTCTTGACACCCTGCAGTATTCATTTGCTAAGCCTTTTGGTCAATAAAAAAACATTTGATTTTGTCAAAGTCAGTCTCCAGCTATATCATTAACAATAAATGAAAATACTGCTTTTTTTTTTTTTAAGCACTGAAACAGAATAATTAAATCTTCTTTTTCAGAAGTGTAGTTATCAAGCCAGTTCTTTCCCAGGATTACTTTTAATGATTTGAATACTTGAGTGAATGAATTTACAAACACTTCCAAAGTTTTTTTCCCCACCCATTAAATCTTTCCAAATTCATTCTTTAACATTAAACACCTGAAACCCCTTTCTAATCCCTTACTGTGGATTAAGCTCAAGGTATTGCTCATAACTGTATGCACGCTTTATAAAGAAGAAAAATGTTTAATTATCTGCTCTGGAAGGCATTTTACACGAACAGTTAAACAGGTTTGGCCTTGTAAATGCCCAACAGGTCATATTTCTCACTTTTTAAGACTTCATGTCCCAAGGTAAAACCTGGAATGCTATATAATATGAAATTATTTTAATAGTTTATAAGAGTTGTAGTAAATGTAATTTGACAGAGATGATTAAAAAAAATCACATAAAAGGCCATAAATTTAAATCCAGCAGATACTTTTAGACACGGCAGTGCTAGTATGACTCTGTTAACATTGGCTGATGACTAATTCTTAACTGTAAAGAACTGTTTCAGGCTGGAGGAATAATTCATCCCRTCATCTCACGGGTATCCCCTGCTTTTAAATGTGTCTGTTCAAAAATGCTTTCTTCATGTGGAATGTCACCTTTGGACGAGAACTGAGGAGTTAAACCATTTTTATATCTTAGATCTTTAAGTTCCTAACATGGAAAAAAATCTTTTTTTTTCCTTCCCCCAAAAGACTGTCTTTATAATTTTCCCTCGCCTTCACCCTTTTCCCAGTAGTTCTTTTGCAAGGAGTTAATTATATTTTAACAGAAACAACAATTTAGCTCCTTGTCCCTATACAATACAGTTCTTCTAAGGCTGTGATAAGATGCACAAAGATCATTTAAAAAATCTCAAGCTCCCCTTTTCTTGCTTTTTCCCTTTCTCCAGCTTTTTATTTCAGGTCGTGATTCCTTTCTAACAAGCAGAGTTCCACAGGAAAGAGAGATTACCCAAGACCAGTTCCAAATCATCAAGCAGCCAACAATACCATACTTAAAAAGTAACCCTACCTCTCAAGTTTGGGTTTTTTTAGAGTCTATGAAGAAGATCATTCAACAGGTGAAGACAGGGGCAGCAGATCTGAGAGGAAATCAGGAAGCAATCATCTGAGAGACCAAAGCTAGCTACAGAAAGCAAAGCCAACAAGAAATGGAAACTTTCTCCCTCCACCTTTGAAAAGAGAGGAAAAAAAAGATGAGATGGAAACAATAACCAGGTGACGGAAAGAGCAGGAGACTTCCTGCTAGGGCTCAATCTTCATGCACTGGAAAGTAGGAACCAGCCAGTTGTTTCACTGGTGATTTAAGCAAGAATTAAAGCGTTAGCAGCAGATTAAGTTTTGTACTTTAGAATGGACTCATTGAAYGTTCCCAAAGCAGTGTAATTTTAAACTAAGGACTGCAATGTGGTTGCTCTTCAAAATATCAAAAACACTGGAAGGAAACACACCTCCAAAGTGCCGAGGCAGTTACAGCAAATCAATATGACTACCAAAAGTGAAAGGTTTCCATTTCACACGCTGAACAAATACGTATCACAAGAAGAATAAAAGTCTGCTGTTTTATTGCACTGAAGCTTTTGTTGAAAGCAGCAGTCAAATTAGCTATGCAGGTAAGCACACGCTAAAGCAATGCAGTCCTACTAGCCCTAAAATAGTTTTTGCTAATATAGAATCTTTCATTTTGAAAAAAAGGCACTTTGGGAAAAATAAAACTAGAAACCCAGAAACCAGGCGGCTGGGCATTTACTTTTCCCAAAAAATTTCAAAAAGATATTTTTATATCAAATAAAAATAATGAAAAGATTAAAATATGCCAATATTAGTGAATTAGATTTGGCAGTTTTAAACATGCTATTAATTGTAATTATTGTACTCAGTAACGTATTTATGATGCAGGAAAAGAAATAGACATCACCCTTAGAAAAATCCTTTTCACTTACCAGTCTGAATGCACATACTGAGCAGAAGAAACACAGAGTAAGAAGCAAGGCTGGCAACAATCAGCAGCAAGATACTAAAAACACAAAATTTAAGTCATTCTTTCAAGTACAATGCACTTCTGTCTTTACAAATGATTATTTTGCAAGAAATAAGTTATCACAAGACAGGATTTCCTCATTTTACAGCTCTATCTGCTGACTATGGTTCACGCAGCTCCTGACCTTCCCAGCTCTTGCTAAGTCCCAACTTTTTAAGTTGCTGCCTGCAGCGGGGTTATGTGGGACACGTTACAGGATATGTGATATATGAAATGGAAGGACATAAATACAGGAGTTCTCGCATGTGTAYGTAAGTATACACACAAACACTTATAAATCCACTTTTAAAATATGTATTGCTTTTAATGAAGCGAACTTAAAGCTCAGAATAAGGTTAGATTGACAGTTCTGGGCACTTTAGTCCTCGTAGGTTGGTATGTACAAGGAGGCAAGTGAAAGCTGACCCACGTTTTCCACACAGGTGTCCACGCTGTCCCGGGCAGCCCAATTCCAACCGCAGGGCACAGATWCTCCCGCCGCAGAAGCGCTACTAATTAGGACTAATGGGCAGTAAATTGCCACCGTGCGGCAATCGCAGGCAGTGTCGGGGCAGGGCTCGCACGAGGCCGCTTCCGAGGAGCGGCCAGGGCTGATGGGGAGACCCGAGCCGCRGGCTGCGGCCCCCGCCGCTGCGCAGGGCCGCCCTGCCCCCGGGCACTCACCTGAAGCCCACGACCCCCGCGTGGGCCATGGCGTAGGACAGGCCGAGGACGCCGCTGCCCATGATCGCGTTCATCAGGTTGAACACGGAGAAGCCGAAGGAGGAGCCGCCGCTGCCGCGGGGAGGCTGCGGGGAGGCAGCGCGGCTTGAGCACCGCGGGAAGCCCCGCGCTGCGCCACGCCGGCCCGGGGCTCCCCGCCTCGCCGCGGCCCCACAGGGGGGTCACCGCGCGCTCCCCCTCCCCCCCCGGGGCTCCAACGGCCGCCGCGCTCCCCCGCCCCGGGGGCTCCAACGGCCGCCGCGCTCCCCCGCCCCCCCGGGGCTCCAACGGCCGCCGCGCTCCCCCGCCCCGGGGGCTCCAACGGGCTCCCCGCCTCGCCGCGGCCCCACAGGGGGGTCACCGCGCGCTCCCCCTCCCCCCCCGGGGCTCCAACGGCCGCCGCGCTCCCCCACCCCGGGGGCTCCAACGGCCGCCGCGCTCCCCCGCCCCCCCGGGGCTCCAACGGCCGCCGCGCTCCCCCGCCCCCCGGGGCTCCAACGGCCGCAGGCGCCAAAGGCGGCGAGCGCTACCCCGGTCGGGGAGCCGCCTCTCCCGCCGCCCCTCACACCCACGCACGCTGCGCGGCGGCGGCAACAGCGGGGCGGACTCCGCGTCCTCGGCCGCCTCCTCCTCTTCGTCGTCGTCGCCCTGGCGGGCGGACAGGAACCAGCCCCGCTCGGCGGCGGCGCCGCACGCGACCCCCCGCGGCGGCGCCATGGCCCCCGCGCCGCCTCCCGCGCCTCTGCGCCCGCCGCCGCGGGGGGCGGGGCCACCGCGGGACGGGGCGGGGCCGCCGCGAGACGGGGCGGAGTCTGAGCGAAAGAGCCGCCCCCTTGAGGTGTCGGCCCCCCCCCTCCCCGCCGGGCCTCGGCTCCCGCGCGGGGCGGGGTCACGGCGCGTCGCGGCGGCGATGACGTCACGGGGGCGCCGTCGCGCGCGCGCGGCCGGGGCTCGACATGAGGTGAGGGGGGGGAGGCGGTCGCCATGGCGACGGCGCGGCCTGCGGGGCCGGGAACGGGATCGGGATCGGGATCGGGATGGGGATCGAGATCGGGATCGGCGCTGGAAGCGGCTCCGGGAGCCGGGGGCCGCGCGCGTGCGGGGCCGGTGCGGGCAGGGAGAGGAGGCAGCCGTGCGGGGAGGCGGCGGGCGCAGCGGGAAAAAAGGCCGCAGCAGCAGCATCAAGACGTCCGGTTTTTTCGTTTGATTCACTGGGGTTGCTAATTCTTTATTAGAGCAAAGGGGGTTCACTGCGTTTTGGCAGGAGAGCGGTGGAGTTAGTGTAATATGCAGTTGCAAACAGGATGGAAATTTGACGTGTGTAAATCATAATAAGGAGCTTTAGAAAACTGTCGTGGATTATTTGGTTACAAATGGAAATTCTGGTTTTAAGAGAACAGCAAATCCATGTGATTTGCGGCCTGTTTAGTGGGATGATTACATAATGTCTATAAAATGAATAATTTCTCTTCTAGGAGTTTATGGAGATTTGGATTCTCTGCCAGACTACTGAAAACCAATCATTTTAGGACAGCTGCCTCGAATACGTCATTCCCGGCAGTTTGGATGCTCTTGGCCCAGTATCCTGGCCGAATACCTGGCTCCTTTGCGAAAGTTCAAAGAAATAGTTTCTTTACAATGCCTGAAACCGTAGAGGATAAAGCTGATCCAGAGCTGTATTCGCCCCCTCCGAGAGTGCGTGGAATGACACAACTCGATAGAGAGGCTTTCAAAAGGACAATTGTTGTGCCAGTTCTTAAAGTTCAGAAAGAAATAATAGGTTCTTTGTTAAAGCCTTTAAAACATACGCTGCTGCAGCGTCCTGGTCTAAAGCGAGTGATTGAAGATCCAGACGATGAGAACAGTAGACTTGTTATGTTGGATCCTCATAAAATACCCGAATTCTCACTGGGAGGATCGGAACAAGAGGTATTAAAACAGTTTAATATTCCCCCTGTGGTGTCCAAGTACGACTTGGAGCTGACCTACGAGAGCTTCAAGCTGGAGGAGATCCTCCGAGCCGTCCTTCCTGAGGGACAAGAAGTCACCTCTGGATTCAGCCGTGTTGGTCACATAGCACATTTGAATCTTAGGGATCATCAGCTGCCTTACAGATACTTGATTGGTAGGTAAAGCAACTGTCTTCGGAAAACAATTGGTATCCCCTAAGGTATTTTAAACAATTGTTCTATCTATAAGCTATTGGGTGTACAGGAAAAAAAACGTCTTTATAGCTCTAAAAGTTTCATCTTTTATTTAATAGCCTTTTATGTAAAACTGATGCTTAAGTTGTACACAAATGACAGAACTCGGTCCTCTTGCAGTTACTGCACGTTGGCTCAGTGTCACGTACTGCCTTAGATCAGATAACATCTACAACCCTGAAAGATTAGAGACAGGTTGTTCAAATACATGCTTGCTTTGGTAAATTTTCACGGTATATTCCTGTATTTTATAGAACATTGAGAGGTTAACATGCCTTAAACTGACTTTTTAAATTTTTTTTTTTTTACCTGTCATTCAGGCCAAGTTATAATTGACAAGAATCCAGGTGTCACCAGTGTGGTGAATAAAACCAGTATTATTGACAGCACGTACAGAAACTTTGAAATGGAAGTGCTGGCTGGAGAGAGCAACCTGGTAACCAAGGTACATGTTCTTTTTCCCTAATCTAATGCACTAAAAAACCCCAAAACATAACTGGAATGAAGATGTGATGAAAAATCACTAATTTTACATTCATTTCTCCTGGTCTGCCAAGAGTAAAATCACAGCTGTAGTGATCACAAAGATAAAAGTTCTTTCAAGTACATAGCAGAGATTTTTTAATGAGAGGTAAAAGCAGCTAGAGTAAAGGTTTCTTACAAGAGATACTAATTACAGACTTTGGGGTGGGATTTCTTTTTTAATCCAAAGCCAAAATCTTTAGCACATTGGATCTAAGAAAATGCTTTATCTCAGTTTCACTAAGCACTGTACAATGTCCTGCACAGAGCAGCAGGCCCAGTTTTTACCTTACTTTACTTAAGCAAGGGTTTGCCTGTGCCTGCTTCCTTTTCAGTCGGGAGCAAGACAAAGGCTCAGCACTCTTCTGCTCTGAGGTTTTTCAGGTGAAAGCTGGCAACTAAGCRCTACGTCTTCCTCACACTGGGTTTCTTGGTTTTAGCTGGAAATTCGGCCACTAGTTTAGCCCAAAGATATTTTCCATAGCTGGTAATACTGTCACTTGTTTAGGAGACCATTCAGTTGCTGAAGCAAAATGCTGAACAGCTTCCTGGTGTCGGACTGTGCGTGTCCAGAGAACGTTTTGAGTTTTGACACTCAGCAGTGACAGTGAAATCCCAGGCAGGTGGTATCAGCTCCCCAGGCAAACGGCGAGCCCGCCGCTGAGCTGCAGAYTGCCCAGGGTGCCGTGATTTGGAGTGAACGTTGCTTTACTTGAGAGTAACACGGGCAAGACGTTCAGTGTGGTCGTGGCAAGCGAGCACTTGCATTCCCCTCACATCTGAATAAACAGCATTTGTTCTTCAGGCCTGTTCTTACACTGGTCGTCCCGAAGTTCTGGTTTGAATCAGTTTCCAAGACGGTCACCTTGAAAGACAAAATACAGTGTTTGCTAAAACTGCAGAGTTGGCTCTTGAGGGCTTTGAATTTGGCCGAGTGCTGCTGTTCTCGTGCTCTTATCATTCTCAGACACTTATTTACTGCGTAGACTCGAGGCTAGGGAGGGCTTGAGGCATCTTCCCAAGATCTGTTTTCAATAAAGTGGTTGTCAGCCAGCCACAAAGCTCTTGACCATAAAAAAAATTTAAAAAAAAAGGAGTATTTTCATTTTAAATTGCTGCTTTATTTCCACCTGGTGATTGAGCCATGCATAAGCCAGCCATCTGGACTGACAGTGGAGCATTCCTTATGGCTATTCCCGATGAGCAGACCTGTTTATACAAGATCCACGTGTACTATTAATGGGACAAACGTCAGTGTGCACATTACCTTTTGATAAAGCACCAGCTTTYTTAGCTGTCTTAATTACAGATATTGCTTAGACATGTCTGGAATGTGAACACAGAGGCTGAAACAAATGTTTTGGACTTTCAGGTCAAAGAAAATAATACTACCTATGAATTGGACTTCTCTAAAGTCTACTGGAATCCCCGGCTCTCCACAGAGCACGGCCGTATCGTCGAGCTTTTGAAGCCTGGAGATGTTCTTTTCGATGTCTTTGCTGGGGTTGGACCGTTTGCTATTCCCGCAGCGAAGAAGAAGTGCAGGGTATTTGCCAACGACCTCAATCCCGAGTCCTACACCTGGCTGCTGCACAACTGCAAACTCAACAAAGTGGGCGACAAAATCAAAGCGTTCAACATGGACGGCAGGGACTTCCTCCTGGGGCCAGTTCGAGAAGAACTAAGCAAAGGGCTTCTGCTTCAAACAGAAGAGCAGAAACCCTCTTTCCACATCGTCATGAATTTGCCGGCTTTGGCGCTGGAGTTCCTGGCTGCTTTCAGGCACCTGCTGGCCGGGGCGGCGCGCGGCGCGGCGCTGCCCACCGTGCACTGCTACGCCTTCTCCAAGCACCCCGAGCCGGCCCTAGACGTGTGGCAACGCGCCGAGGCCTCCCTGGGAGCCTCCTTGCGCGCTTGCTGCTCTGTCCACGCCGTCAGAAACGTGGCGCCGAACAAGGAGATGATGTGCCTCAGTTTCCAGCTTCCAGCTGACGTCCTGTACGGGAGGCCGTGCCCCGCTGAAGGTGAGGAGCAGCCTGAACGGTGCCCGTGTTTGGGGCTGCATCTCTCGGCTCGCTGCGTGCTCGGCGTGCCGCGCCGGGAGCGCGGAGGTGGCCGCGGCGCTCGGGGGCTGCACGTGTGCAGCAGCTGCGGGGCTGTGCGCGCAGCAGCAGCGGCGCTGCCCTCCTCTGATCCCAGCGTGAGCCTCCACGCGGCAAACGGTGCACTGGAGAGGATCATCCCACAGGCTGTAAACCAGGCCTTTATGCCCAGGGAGCACGCTGGGGGAGGATAGGGGAGCTAACATCAAGCATACATTTGATTTGGCTACACAGTTAAGAAATGGGGCTCAGCTTTCACCTGAGGTGGAACGACTTACCTCCAACGTCGTCGGCTCCCTTCTGACCTCCTCCCTCGTGCTTGCATGGATTCAGTTTAGAGCTGACTGTACATCAGCAAGAGCAGCTTAGGCACATTTTAATTGAGAAATACGAGACTTTTTTAAGGATACTAGTCACTCGTTTCTTGAAGTGTGTGTAGAAACTATTCAGTTTCAGTGAAATTGGATTTTGCAACATATGATGAGTGGGGAGAGGGAGGCTTTCGGCTTGCAGTTGCATGGACTTAATGGAGAATAGGGGGTTTTGATAAGGCTTTAATGCCATGAGATTTATTATTGGGTAGCACTGAGATGTAGGTCAGTAACAGTTCATTTTGGCACTCAGTAAAGAAAAGATTCCACATTTACTGCCTTAGCAGATTGCATTTGTAACAGTTAATCCTGACTTTAACTCTTCTCCTCCTGTTAAATCCCTTAAGYGTTACATGGCTTCAGGTTTAGCTCAGGATCTGTTTATCGTCCACTAAACTTTCTCTAACCTTCTTGCAGAGAAACCAGCCTGTAAACGGCAGCGAACCAGCAAAGACTCTTCTGAAGAGACRTTACCGAGCTGAGGATGAGAGCTGCAGTAACCACTGACTAGTGTCTGCCAGGCGCAGGTAGGAGACCTGTAGTCTGCCCCTCCAGTGAACGTCCTTTGAACGTGCTTGGGTTACCCCTTCATGTCGGCCTGTGTCACGCGTGGTCTCTCCTCCCTTGCTAAGCATCTGCCTCCTGCAAACTTACTTTCTAACTGTGGGATCAGCAAGCAGACTGAAACTGTTCTTCTTACTACAAAGAATAAAAAATCACTTTTTCTAATAAATGGTTTTATGGCACTTTTCTCCTCTGTTGTTTCACACACCGCAATAATTCAGTAAAACAGCCTGGGATAGTTTTCTGCTGCAGTTTTATTCTGGTAATTTACAGTTTATAGCAGCACACACCTTAATGCTAACATATATAAAATAGGAATGGTGGAAACATGTTCTTTATATTTTGTAGGACTTGGGAAGATGGTTTGTGTGTGTACTAGGAAACAACCTTTGTTATAGAACAGGATTCTCTCTTTGACCCATAGGCTTGAGAACATTGGGATATTGTAAGCAGATGCACAAACAGCTCGTCTCTAAGCACAAAAACCCTTCAAAAGCGTGCCCTAAGTTACAAAGAGGAATAAATAACACCCATACTTGTGCCCAGGCTTTTGGAGTAATAAATACTTTTCAATGCTAACTGCTTTACTTAGTTCAATGACTTCTAASTTAGTGTTTGCCCACAGTTAAAGCAGGAAAGACTTTACTGCTGTTTGTGCAGTTGCAGTTGAGTGCAAGCGTGGGTGAACACACGAGACTGAGAACTAGCACCTGGGTCAACGTTCTCCCATCTTGAATTCCTGTCCTGTGGCTTTTGTGCCTCTGCCCTTCCCTGCTCCTCTCCCACCTCTGTGACTGCTCCCTCGGTGCCGCCTCCGGATGCTGCAGGAGTCCACACGGATTCTGAGCCTCTCTGCTGCTGTTTTAACAGCTTACCTCTCATTTGTTTGCAAGTCACTGGGTTATCTGTAACTGCCCCCAAAGCTGCTGTTTTCCTGCAACTGGGTGTAGTTACCAYTAATACATAAGACCTTCCCCTGTAAGTAGCAAGAGGTAGTCAGGGGCACCCRCAGGTTGCACAGGAATATAGGTGTTAATGCATAACCAATTCTGCAGTCATTAGGCTAATAAATTGAAGCTTTATAAACCAAACAGCCCTGGGTGAGCCTGGGATTTCCCATGACTATTTCTCACCCAGGTCAGGCAATACCAAAATTGACGGAGATGCCCAAACACCCAGTTTCTACCCCCAGGACAGTCCCCCCGATATGAGAGGATCTCCTTTAAGTTTGTGCTTGTTTTATGTCCCCTCTCCCCGCTGCTGCTATGCAGTGTTACCCGCTGACATCTATTCTGGGCACAAATGACAGCACTGTGGAGACCATGGAAATGTTGGCGTCTCCTTCTCCCTTCCTTAATAAAGGAAGCACCAAGTCTGGTATAGAGCTTATCCTCCACTTTATTACACGCTAGGAAAAAAAAATCATTCATTTACTGTAGTCTTCAGAGCAGTATTTAACAACCATTAACAGATGACCCATAAAAAGTGCTCCAGGGTTTTCTCCAGAGGTGCCCCTTCCCCTGAGCCGTTCCCAGTCTCCTGCAGTTAATGAGTATTTGTGGAAACAACCAACCTGAGACAAGAACCTCATCTCTGCTGCAGGGGCTCTGTGTTTCCCTACAAAGAGAGAAGGAGGAGGACACARGAGCAACACGCTGGATGGCAAGGATCATCCCAAAAGCCAGACAAAGGGATGCAAAAGTCCCCAGAGCTCCTGAACAGTTAACAAAAAACTCAAACAGAGCTGAAAAGGAAAAAAACTAAAGCAATTTTGACTTCTGTTCTCATAAAATAGCTTTGTTACAAGGTCTCTTATGGAGCTTCTATGAGAACTCAGCTGAAAAGCTCTCAGCTACAGATAATGCTGCTGTTTTCTGGACAAAGGTAACCAAAAAGTGCCATCGAGAAGGATCCTACACAAGGCTTGTGTCAGCAAAGCGCAGGGTTTCTCAGCTCGTCCAGCTGGCAGGAGGAGAAAACCACTTGTCTGAACCGTGGAAACTAGTGTTATGGGAAGAAAATGTAGGCTTGAATATTGACACTAAATGTTATAATCAAAATGGCATTTAAATGCTTGTGCAAATAAAACCCTGCAATAAGAGTAAAACCACAAACTTTAATAAAAAACGTCTGGCTTTATTTAAAAAAAATTTACAAGTGTATTTCTTTAAACCTCAAACATACACAGCTGAGTTATTCACATCTTCCATTAGATGTGGCTTATTGCTTCAGCCTCCCTCAGCAAAGTGCCACATGACTGAAGAGTTTCCCCCTCCACAAAAATGCATCGACCCTTTTGCAAAGCCCTTGTGCAGACTTTTTTGCCCCCTTTTAACACTTGAACACAGCAGGTTTGGCCTAGAAGAGTGACTGCAGCTTAACCCCCGTGCTGACGGCAGCAGTTTTGCCCAACCTTTGCTGCTCCGACTCGCTCTTGACGCCGCTCCGTGTCCCCCGATCCCGYGCAGGGCATGGTGACTAGCTGGGGTGCCAGAGCAGGCCGCTGAAGGCGTCCTGCAAGGCGCGGTGACAAGCGAGGGAGGAAGTGTAGCCGCCGGCGAGGTCCTGCGGAGAGGCAGCTCGCACGTGGCTGAGGTACCTGCGAACCCAAGAGCACAGACACGAGCGCGTCAGCGAGCAGCACGGCTCCCGGGGCAGAAGGTSGAGGCTGCTTTGTTGGAGAAAGGAAAGAGCCATCAGCCGCCTGCTGCTGGCAGTCTGAGGTGTGGTGAACGCGSGGGTCTAAAGCCTGCGTTGGGTCACCAAAGCGACGCGGAGGCGCCCTCAGACAAGCAGCCACCRCAGGGGCCGCCCCGGGAGCAGGGAGCATCAGTGCCCTAAGCTCCCTGCGCTCCGTTTGCTGCAGGAACGGAGGCGTTCGCCTTTTCTTCTCCCTCCACGTTGCAATGTCCAGTCTTGCCCCCATCCCTGAAGCCGAGGATGACCCAGGCTTTTCTGCACTCCACAACGCCACGGAGGAGTTTCAGCTCTGCACGGTTAATGCTTCAACCCCCCGGCGGCCCCTCGGACAGGTTCTCCCAGGAGCTGCGCCTTTGCTCTCCCGCCTGTCGCTACCTCGAGCGAGTCCCTTGGCTCCAGGTGCCCGAGGAAGCCAGAACTCGGCATCGTCACCACCTCGCGGAAGCACCTGCTCAGACACCAACCTACCCAGGCCAAACCCGAGCCACAGACTGAAACGTTTACATCTGCTGGCACTTGCTTGGGCTCCGGGCCCCGGTCAGCCCCTCTCCAAGGGCTCCGTCACGGCCATCGCGCCCACGGCGAGCTCCCGCTGCAGCCGCCTGCCCAGCGGCACCCGAACGTGTCCATGTCCTCCTAAGGTTTCCATGTACTCCTAAGGTCTTCATGTTTCACACTAGGAGATGCAAGAACRAATCCTCAGCTGCAGCTTTGCACCAAGAACCCCTCAAACACCAGACAGATGCCCCAGCCAACGTGAGCAGCAAAACGCCTGCCTCAAATCTTAAACGCCGGATAAAATACCATAAAYGAGCCCGGCTTTTCACACTTGTAACGCAGGCTGCTGGGCTTCAACTCACGGCTTTGATTCATCGCTTGGTGCGCGTTGCTCCTGGGAAGGTTGAGTCATTCCACCTCTGGAGCTCGAGCATAAACTTGCAAAACGCATGCAGCCTTTTATAATGTTATCCTGAGAAACCCAAACCAGCTGCACTGCTGGCAGGAAAATCCAGGACCACCAGTAAAATATCCCAAACAGTTGCATCTTTTAATTTATGACYGTACACTGTTTCCATAAAGAGTATATAAAACAGGTCAGATTTTATAGGTAAAACATAATAAACAGTCATACCCATTGATGCCATAAACGTGCAAGAAAAGGTTACTTGAAAATGATTAATTACAGTTTTAGAACTGTATTTCTTGCACCTAATAGCCATAGTGAGCAGAGGGGCCGGCAGTGCTGGGTTGGTGCTGGTGGGAGGCTAAAGCCACAGGCTGGACTTGCCCCCCAGGCCAGCTGAGCTGAGCCCAGCGCTCCGGGACATGGGGCGAAGCCTGGAGGGAGGGAGCTCCCGCTTCACRAGGAAACACAATTCATGGAGCTTTTCTTTTAAGGAACAGGTACTTGTACCTTAGGGCTTCAGGAGGAAAGTTTCACCCTTCCCCAAGGCCTTTTCCAACTGCTGTGGGGAAACGGGAGCTCCTTCCCGCAGCCAGGAATACAGATACAGACTACCGGGATACAGACTGCACCAAAGCCCCTTGGAAGTCCAGTGATAACTTCCTCCCTGCTCCAAACTGTTCTGTCCTATAAAATCACCCCTCATCCGAGTCAAGTTGTTCTTGTCCCGTGTTTATTCCATGACACAGGCCTAATTTTCCAGGCACTCATGGAGAGCAGAGGACCCTCTTTACATTTTCCATGTAGGTCATGCTTTTTTTCTCCCCCTATTTTCCTCCACGGACACATCCCTAAAAGGAGGGAGGGCTGAAGCACAGGCTACCATTTCCCTCTTTTCAGGTCACCTTTAACTAGGGCACTAGTCTCCTAAGRGGGTCTGATTTACAGATATCGCAGCCTTTGTGCTTAATCCCTCACTAATACAGACACCGGGCGCGTGATCGGCAGCGGCMCCAGGCCACGAGGACGGGCCGTGGAGCCCCCTTGGTGGCTCCTCTTTGTGACTTAACTGCCCCATGTGGAAGGGTCAGGAGTGCCAGGCTGGCCCCGGAGCCGCTTCCCGCCGGCGGTGCCGGGCCTGGATCCCGGCAGGGTCCTGGCCCCTTGGAGTTGCTCCCRGAGGAGGCGCCGGCTGAGGCTCCTTCCAAGAGCGGAGCTCGGCCGGGGACACGGAGGCAACTGCGCCGGCTAGTTAGCAAATTCCAGCACGGCGGGTCTGCTTTTCATAGGTTTATTTTAAGTACCTGTAAATCTTATAAGCAGAACCCAGGAAGGAGAGGTTTGCTGTTGCTGGTGCTCGGTTCTTACTGCATCTTGTTTTCACTGAGGGCAGACTAAACTTTACAGCTAGGGGCAGCCTGTGCTGTAACCCCGAGCGGGGCCGCAGAGCGGTGGGGTGAGCGCCCCGGAGCAGYCCCCTCTGCTCCGTGAACCCTCCACGTCGCTTAAAACACGAGGGTTTTGCTCCTCCCGAGCCCTCGGGGGCCCTTCCACCTTGGGCACGCACAGACGGCGCCTCCCGCTCGCAGGGCAAGAGGCASCAGGAGGGCGGCGGGGCCGGGTCTGTTCCCGGCGGCCTTTCACAGAACCACAGGATGGCTGAGGCTGGACGGAACCTCCAGAGATCATCTAGTCCAACCCTCTGCTCCAGCAGGGACACCCAGAGCACGGGGCACAGGGCGGCATCCAGGCAGGCTGGGAAGATCTCCAGGGAAGGAGACTCTACAGGCTCCCTGGGCAGCCTGTTCCAGGGCTCGGGCACCCTCATAGTGAACAAGTTCTTCCTCACATGTAGTTGGAACTGCCTGGGTTGCAACTTACACCCCCTGCCCCTTGTCCTGTCACTGGTCACCACTGAGAAGAGCTTGGCCCCTTCCTCCCTACATTCCCCCTTCATGAACTGACACATGTTAATCAGATCCCCTCTCAGCCTTCTCCTCTCCAGGCTAAACAGGCCCAGCTCACTCAGTCTCTCCTCATATGAGAGATGCTCCAGTCCCTTAATCAYCTTTGTCACCCTCCGTTGGACCCTCTCTAGAAGCTCCACATCCCCCTTGTCCTGGGAGGCCCAGGATTGTCCCCAATACCCCATGGTGTTCTGGTTGCAGAAACCATTTGCAGCAGACAGAGCTACAAGGACCACGACCCTTCAAGCCCCTGTGCAGGGCTCCCAGTGCGGGCAGCAGGGCCAGGGGGTCAGTGCAGCTGCCAGACACCCCACCTGCCACCCCAAACTCCATCACCTCCTGCCCTCRGAGCGCAAGGGAAGGAGGGAATCATGAGGAAACACTGAAAGGGGGAGCCTGTCCCCACCACGCGGCTTCGTCCCCTCCTCGCGCAAGCCCTGCYGCTCACCTGGTCCTGACTTATTTACTTATTTCGTCCTGTGCTGGTTTCCTGAAGGCTGAGGGAGCTGAACCAGCTGTCCCCATCAACACAACCACATCCCGGGAGGCAGCTGCAGCCCCACCACTCACGTGTCCTTGAGACAGCAACGCCCGGAGCTCTTCCCATTGGGAGCGGCACGCAGCCGAGGYGCAGGAGCTGCCTTGCTGCTGCTTCAAACACAGGGCAAGTGCTGCTGGTTCCTGCACTCACGGGCTGCAGTTGCCAAGATTTACTCCTGAAAGCTCTGCCTGGCTACGAAAAACCCTCCGGTTCCAGCAAACCTTGCCCTTGATGACACTGCAAGAGGCTCACTTGAATGGATTTGCAAAAACCCCACATCTATACATTAAGATGACTGGGTGTAGATGCACAGATGCACACATCAAAACTGAGTTTTAAAGGAAGTACCTGGATTTTTCCCCCCTTTGCTTGAGGGAAACTCTCCACTGCCTTTTATAAAAACAAAGAGTTAAAGTCCTCATCTTTCACTACATTTAAGATCRGATGCCAATCGACTCTAATGGGTCTCCATTTAGAGCATTACACTGTGACAGGGATGAAAGAGAAAGCTTCTGAATTGGGAGCGGGAGTTCGCAGCTCCTCGAAGACTTAAAACTAATAAATGAAAAATCCGAAATGAAGATCCAAAATCCGTTGTACCAAAAATAACCATTCCCAGCAGCAAAGCCAAAAAAACCCAACCCCTGAAATCATTAAGGGAAACCTAGGACCTAGGATTGATTTCTTTTAGCCTCCTCCAAGTGKTTTTTTCCAAGCAGCAATTTGCTTGAATTGCTGTGAGTCTCTCCGGACAAAATACRGAGACTGTGTGTGGGGAAACAAAGCCCTTCGGAGAAAGAAACGGGATCGGCTCCGTGGCGGCACCAGGATCCRCTCCCGGACACCGAAGGAGCAAAAGGGAAGGGCCCTAGGGAATTACCTAGGACACTGGTGAGAGCAGCTGCGGATCCTGCAGCAGGAATATGCTGAAGTTCAAAGCAGCCATCGTCACTGGGCTTCAGGATGTGGGAGCAGAGGGGAATGGGGCGGGGGGGGAGAAGGGAATCAAGTTTTCCACATTACCTGCCCTGAAAACTTCCTCCTTTTGTCCGGAAATCCAGGTTCCGGAGCCTAAAGCTCTTCCCTGAAAAGCTGCTGTACTGGATGATGCAACAGTGGAAAAACTTCCTGCAACTACCCTCACAGCAGATGTTCAATGCTCGCAAGTAAATAAAAATAAAAATAAAAAACAAAAATAAAAACAAAAATAAAAACAAAAATAAAAACAAAAATAAAAACAAAAACAAAAACAAAAACAAATAATTAAAAAAAGCTTTTCCATAGAAAATCAACAGAAAAGGGTGGAGAAGTTTTAGGAAGCTTTAAGCAGCACCTGGTCTCCAGCATTTTTACAGCCCTGCAGTTCTACTGAGGCTCAAGTTTTTAAATAGATGCAGCCACGTTTATTTAACGCACACCAAAAAAGCATTTACCTTTGAAGCAACAAAGCAACAAATGCTGCTGCCTAAAAGTAAGTTGGAAAAARC